TATGGAGGTTTCTCAAGAAATTAAAAGTAGAAGCACCACGTGATTCAGCAATTCCATTTATGGGCATTTATCCAAAGAAAATGAAAACACTAACTCAAAAAGATATATGCACCACGTTTATTGCAGCACTATTTGCAATAGCCAAAACACAGAAGCAACCTAAGGAACCATCAATGCATGAATGGATAAAGAAAATGTGGTACACACACACACACACACACACACACACACACACACACACAGTGGAATATTATGTAGCCTTGAAAAAGAAGGAAATCTTGTTATTTGCAACAACATGGATGGACCTTGGGGGCAGTATTATGCTAAATGAAATAAGTCAGACAAAGAAAGATAAATGATACATAATCACACTTATATGTGAAATCTAAAAACCAACCAACCAACCAACAAAAACAAATAACAAAATCTAGACTCATAGATACACTGAACAGATTGCTGGTTGCCAGAGGTGGGGGATGATGGGTGGGTGAAATGAGCGAAGGTGGTCAAAAGGTACAAACTTGCAGTTATAAAATAAGTATAAGTATCATGATGAGGTAATGATACAGCATGATGAATATAGTTAGTAAAACATATATTTGCAAGTTGCTAAGAGAGTAGATCTTAAAAACTCATCACAAGAAAAAAAAATGTGTAACTTTGTGGTGGATATTAACTAGACTAAATCTGGTGATCATTTCATAATATATACCAATATTAATCATTAGGTTGTACACCTGAAACTAATACAATATTATAGGTCAATTATATCTCAGTAAAAATAAAGATTACAAAATAAAAGAGCTATGGAGTGATCTTTCTTCCTCATGTAAGAAAGATGAGAAATGGAGAGAGTATTGCTTATGTATATGTTTACTGAATTTGTTCTAGACCTACTAAAATTTATGTGCCCTTGGGGTCCATGAGATACTTCAGTGTCCCTCCAAAAAATTCTTTTTTTGTTGCATAAGCTAATTCAAATAGAATTTGCTGCCTGTATCAAATCTGTTTTACACATAGGAACATTGTGAAGTCGATGGCACAGGGCCATCAGGGTACAAAGGGGCATCAGAGCTGAGATTAAATCAATATCATATTGACGCTTGAGCCCATCATTTACCCCATACTGCCACTAGGAGAAAGTGTTTCCCTTTCTCAGCTGTCTTAGGAAGCTCACACCCCTTAAAGTTAATTGTGGCCATGTGACTTGCTTTGGTAGAAGAAACATAATCAGAAGTGACATGATTCATTCTTAGTGGAGATGTTGATTGCTGGTGCTTAACTGTCCACTGCATCTGTGCTTCAGCAACCCTGAGCACATCACAGTATGGAGGAACCATAAGATCAAAGATGCATGCACCAGGCGCCTGGGTGGCTCAGTTGGTTAAGCGACTGCCTTCGGCTCAGGTCGTGATCCTGGAGTCCCGGGATCGAGTCCCGCATCGGGCTCCCTGCTCGGCAGGGAGTCTGCTTCGCCCTCTGACTCTCCTCCCTCTCATGCTCTCTGTCTCTCATTCTCTCTCAAATGAATAAATAAAATCTTTAAAAAAAAAGATGCGTGCACCACTGAGCCAACGCTCTGGGAAGCCACCTGAACTGACAGTGGACTTCTCATGAGAAAGAAAGAAACTTTTGTCGTTTCAAGCCACTGAGCTTTTAGAATTGTCCGATTATGCAGTAAAACCTGTCTTATTCTCATGTGTCCAGCCAATGACACCTTATTCCCAAGGCCTTCTTCTTGATTTCGTATCAAATCAATTCCAACTTCCCGTTCTCTTAGAGCTATTATTTCAGTTACACATGACTGCAAAATAAACCACTCCAACACTTAATAATGATTTATTATTTCTCATGATTCTGCAGATTGACTGGACTCAGCCGCCTGGTTCATCTGCTCCACACAGGATAATAGAAGGTCATTTATGTGGCTCCATTTGGTGAGGAGCTTGGCTGGGACTGGAATATGTGACACAGTCTTTCATCCTTGGGAATCTCTTTCCACGTGGCCTTTCATTATCAAGAAGTCTAGCCCCAAGCTTCTTTACTATGTGGAGCTTCTAAGAGGACAGGCTCCCATTTGCCGGTGCCCATCAAGCCTCCACTTGCGTCACATGTGCTGCTGTCTCAGTTGCCGAAACAAGTGTTGTGGCCAAGCCCAGCGTCAATGTAGATGGGACAGTACCGGGGCATGAATTCCAGAAGGCATGGTTCTTTGGGGATTTTCAAGGTAACAGTCTATAACAGCCACTAATTAAGCATTAACATTGAATATTCCCAGTTTTAAAAGTGTTTTCCCATTATCCCGTTTTGTTTAACAGTAAACCTTGAGGAACAAATATATGCCACCCCTGTTTTACAGAGAAGGGGACAAGGGCTCAGAAATCTGGACACTCAACTAGTAAATGGTAAAATTGAGGCTTGACCTCAGGTCTTATTACTGCCAGTCCTGTGTTTTTCTGTTCTATCACAGCGACCTCTCGCCCGCACAACCTGTGATATCTAGCTATGATCTCCATGTTTGATCTTTCCAGGTTTTGAAATTTTGCTGACAAATAAACAAAATCATCCATTTTTCAAATACTTTTTATAGAGCTTAGATTATTGTTTTTAATTGTGTGGGGGGAAATGCACCCAATTCTTAAAGACTTTGATATATTGTAACAAAGTTACTAGCAATGTTTGCTTATTGTAAAGCAAGCCCCAACTAAGCCAGGGTGGCTACTGGAAAGCAAACACCTTACGTCAAACCCTGAAAGGGGACTTATTTAGACTTCATAATGCCCAAAGTTTCTTCTGAGGAACAGCTTCTTTTATGCACCCTAGCCGCACGATGAAGAGTTTCAGTCCAAAATTGCCAGATCCAAATTCTTCCAGGCATTTGCATTTATTTGCAAACATCAATAATAAGAGATCACAACTGACTAGCAAGATTTGCATTACGGTGGGGTGGGTGGGGGAGGAGTTGACTTGGTATGGGGGGCTCATAAAATTGACAAAGCATCCATAATTCTCATCACTGCTTTCAATCACTGGATGCTGGAGAATAAATCACAAGGAGATTAAGATCGGGTCTCGCTCAGAAGCACAACCTCTGTGCCGTTGCCATGGTTCATGAGTGGTGGAGAAACAGACATTCAGAGGAACTACAGTCCTGGGGCCCATTATGAGTTGAAATCTGCTGCCAGGCCCTCCCCAGATGAGGTGCTCCACTGAAGAACACCCTGGGCAATGTGCTGTTGTCTGGTTCCATACTCTTGGCCCCCAGCCTCCAGGTGACACTTTTCATTAGGAACCTTGGCTGGCTGGGCCTTTGATCCATTCCCTTCACTTTCCTTGTCACTTTCCTGGTATGGAGAGAAATACAGAAAAGTTTAACTGCAAACCAGATACCTCTGAACTCCCCCTCTTGCAAAGACACCCCTGTAAGAAGCTTCTTTATTTAAGTAATCTCAGGCTTCATGGTCAGCCAACTTCTGCAACCCATCTCATGACATTCGAACTTCACACAAGAAAGGCAACTACAAAGTATCATGGAGTGAAACTGTTAATGATTACCAGGAGGGAGAATAATTTATATGAAGTGGAAGCAGCCAATCTTCCCCCATCAGGATGTCACATACCTTATCTTGTGTTCTATAGTACTCATTTAACACATACTGATATTTGGGTTGATTGAGACCAAAGAAGGTAGCAAATCTTCCACCAAGGAATTCACATGCTAAAAGAAAGAATAAGCTCTTTGGTAAGCTGAATTAATAACAAACTTAGAGTCAATTGAAGGTGTAGGAGTTTAAACTTGCCTGCAGGTGATCCATTACTACACTTAACTTTAAGGCTGACAAAAGATTTCAATTGCTCTAGACTCTCAAAAAGTTCTAGGACTCAAAAAGAATTGTTAAATCTTCTATCTTCACATGGGATTACATCTATAAACTATCCTTTCCAGATGGGTATGCCAGGAGAGATTTTCCAAAATACTTACTACCCAGGGTCAGCGTTGGTCCTGATCAATCAGAATAGATGCTTTGGGTGTGAAAGTTAGGGATAAAGGTTTAGCATTAATAGTGGTTGCCCGAAGGTGTCTCCTAGAAATGTTTTCCTTTAAAATTATAAATTTCTGGGACGCCTGAGTGGCTCAGTCATTAAGCGTCTGCCTTCGGCTCAGGTCATGATCCCAGGGTCCTGGGATCGAGTCCCACATCGGGCTCCTTGCTCAGTGAGGAGCCTGCTTCTCCCTCTCCCTCTGCTGCTCCCCCTGCTTGTGCTCTCTCTCTCTGACAAATAATAAATAAATAAAAATCTTTAAATAAAAATAAAATAAAATAAAATGAAATTATAAATTTCTGACACCCACCCCCTATGACACAATTTTCTGATCCCCATGACTGATTCCTCTTCTTGGGATGTTGCTCATATCGCACATCGAAATGGGGCTCTCCATTTTTTAATGTGTTTTATCTTTTCAAAAATACTGTAGCTCTTTAATCTATTTGCCACCGTGCCTGGTACATGTGTGTAAGAGAAGTTTCTAAAATATTAGAATAAATCTTGGGAAGTTTTCCTGTTTATGACCTACTAGAATTGTAAATTGAAAACACTCGTTGCAGTTTCATCTGGGTTTCAGTTCTATCCAAAGTTTCTGTATGGAGCCCAGGGTGCTGCATGCCATCATATTTATGCTTCCCACTACCACCTGGAAGCCCCACGCAGATGTGCTTGAACACTACAGTTCTGCTTGGAACTTGGAAGCCAGCTTGATTCCCCTGTGTCCTGTCCTTGCCATCTTAAGTCAAAACCCAACATGGAAATCACTGCAGTCCCTGTTCTCCTCCACATTTTCATATCGCTGTATTGGGTTTTGCTTTTTTCACCAGACCTAGTCTCCTAAGGCTTTCTCTCTCCAAAACATTTCACCTCTTCAGCCTTTCCCCAACTAAAGCACAGAGCTTTCTGGAAGACAGCATTTTTTCTGCCAATGTATTATGGTTGAGGCAAGATTAGTATCTCACCTAGATTCCCAAAGTAACTTCCAAATCCCTAACCCTTTACCCTGATGTGAAAGTCCTTTAAGGCTCATACCATCTGACTAAATCACCTCATCATTACTTTTTACTATAATTTAAAGACTTTTCTCCCCTCCCCTGCCCCCAGTGACTTTCATGATCCCCATACTGACCTTAGCCATACTTTCATAGCACTCTGATGGTATTGCCTCCATATGTCAGCATTACTGAGTCTCCCCATCAGTAGTCCCTATGCTCCTTCTACGCTGGTGATTGTGGCAACAAATTATAATTATGGGCATGTTTACTGGCCTATAATATCCATTGAATATTGAGTCCCTTGAAAGCAAAGACTGTCGTTTGTCTTTGTGTCCCAGGGACCCGCACAGTGCCAAACACATATTGGCACTCAATAAATGTTTATTTAATGAATGAATGAAGATCAGTTCCTCAGAGCTATAGCTATACTTCATATTTTCTCACATTTTTAAAGTTGTTTCCTCCCTGTTGTCCATACAAGCATATGAAAGTTAGGAGGAAACAAGTAATTAGGTATCACAATTGTGTTTTAAAGAAAATTGGTGAATGTTGAGCAAAATAAAATTTAGTATTTCATCTGTTATAAATAGCCACTTAGGCCATTCACTGTGTCCCTGGGAAGGGTCAAGAAAGTTCTTACTCATAACAGAGTGATCATTGAGGGAACTTGGAACTGTGTCATATTACAATAGTTTAAAAAAAAAAAGCTTGGAAGTTTATTCAGATAAAGAGTCAACTGGGGATGGGGAGAGGCTTCAAATATTTGCAACTCTGCCCTCTGAAAGAGGAATCTAGACTTGTTTTATATGGTCTTAAGAAAGACACCTAAGATCAATGGGAATAACTTTAAAAGAAGACAAAATATAAGGTAGAATTTACTAAAAAGAGTTGGAAAGAGATGGGAGGGTCTGCCTAAAGATGTGAGGTTCTATGCCTTTGGAAATGTTGAAGCATAGATTGAGAACTGACCAAGTCGTCCCTTCTCCAGGATGCCGTGGTGTAGATTAAACTATTGGAAGCCCTAACTCTGAGGGTCTGTTAAGTCTATCCTTGAGTATTTAGGACAAAATAAATGAATAAATAACCTTGGCAATACTTACTAGAAAATGAGGTGCTTGCTATTTGCCCTGCCCAAAACCATAGGTAGGGCCCCCATGAAAGTGTAGACTGAAAAAAACAGAGAGAGAGAAATCAAGTTAGAGTAATTATTAACAAGAATGGTGATACAAAGTGTTTCATGTAGAGGTTTCAAATGTTTTATAGTATATTCCATTTTCTTTCTCATAGAGAAGAAATACAAAGTTATCAAAATTATGAGTTGACTATAAATGGATCTAGAAAGCAAACCAAGGGGAATAAGGAGTCAGCTTAAAACTGTATTTTCTACAAACCTTGTCTGGCTTAATCTCTCATTTACTCAGCCCCCATGTTCACTTATATTGATACTCTAAGCTTACGGGATCATGTATTGAATTCGTTTTCTGTTCCTTGTTTTCTTCCTCTTCCTCCTCCTCTGTGCTGTATTCTTCCATGATGTCTCCATCAACGAAATGGATAATTCTTTTGGGAGATCTACTCTTCTCTAATTCTGACTCCTGGAAATTGTCTTTTTCCATAAGAAAATAAAACAACTAGTGAATTAAAAACAGGGCACCTTAGGGCAAGTTGCCCTGGGCAGTGTTTATATAGCTGAGAGGTGTCTAGTTATTTTCAATTGATGGTAAAGCTAGAGACTTCAGATGTAATCATAGCTGTGATCTCATCAATTCTTCAAATTCAACAAGGACTGTTCAGTTCTGTATCAAAATGAAAAAATTTAATTAGACACACCGCGGAATTAGAACAATTCTTAGGAAATAGCAAGTGTCCTAGTAAAAGCTAGTTATTATTAAGTACCTATCATGTAATAGCGTATATGTTAGATACTATTCTAATGTGGTAAGCACACTATTGTCTTAATTAGTACTTAATATATTTTAAGATTATATCAGCAAATATGGCAGACTGAGTTGATATGAAAGACGTCTTTCCTGTTCCAAATACACAAAATTAAACAAATAAAAATATTAAATCAAGCTGTACTAAGGCAGTAAGAGAGACACAGAGACCGTAAAGAAGGAAGGCTAGATATCAGCAAAAGAAGGAAACCTTAAAATCCTAAGAGTGAGCCAAAGCTGACGTGGTTCCTGAGGGTTTCAGAACTAGATATAGGTGTTGGGGGCGGGGGGCCTGAAGTTTTAACACAGGTGCAGAGAGGAGAGCCCAAATCACAGATCCTGTGAGTATGAGGAGGCGAAGTGAAACACCCGCATAAAGCCAAGATAATAAAGTACAATCTTATCTATAAAATCTGGACTAGGAGAACTCCCTACTGCTTTACAAAAGTGGTAAAGTAATTTGTCATCTCCTAGCAACATGGGTAGAAATAATCACCTGAAAAATATTGGAACCCCAGGCCAGTACCAAATGCCGGGGTGTGTGGCCAAATTCATAGTCCTCCTGTGGTATGAGGACCCAAAGTGAAGCTGCAGGCAGCGTAATTCACAGAACTCTGTCGGAAGCAAGCACAAAGCCGCCCTGGAGCGAACTGTCAGCAAGACAGGGTACGCTGGATCTCCACTAAAAACAACCCTTACTGAGGAGGCACTTGCAAAAACTTACAAATCACAGGAAGAAACCAATCGTCTTGAGGAAGGGTAAGCAGATGAAAAAATTGGGAGAGTCTTCACCCAAGAGTTAGGAGTAATAGAACAACACAAAACTTGAAAGTGAGTATGTTTCATATATTCAAAGGGATAAAGGAAACAAAACATAATATCCAAGAGGAACAGGTTGATTTGAAAAAGAACTGAACAGAAATTCTAGAAATGAAATATATAGTCAATATAGATAGGTTGGATGTAGATTGAACAATGAAGAAATCTCTCATAACACAGCATAAAGAGGTATTACATATTCCATTAACATGAAAGAAAAGTTTTGAGATGGGGCGCCTGGGTGGCTCAGTCGTTAAGCGTCTGCCTTCAGCTCAGGTCATGATCCCGGGGTCCTGGGATCGAGCCCCGCATCGGGCTCCCTGCTCGGCGGGAGGCCTGCTTCTCCCTCTCCCACTCCCCCTGCTTGTGTTCCCTCTCTCGCTGTGTCTCTCTCTCTCAAATAAATAAATAAAATCTTTAAAAAAAAAAAAAAGAAAAGTTTTGAGATGAAGAATGGGTGAAAAAGTTCAATACCTGTTGATTGGGAGTTCAGAAGAAGTGAATAGAAAAAATGGGGAACATAATGTTTGAAGAGGTAATGGCTATGAATTTACAATATTTGAAGAACAACATAAACTCTCAAATATAGGAAACATGAAGAATCCTAAGGGGTAAATAATAATGAAATCAAACCTAGACCATGGAAATTACAGAAAATCTTAAAGTTTACAATAGAGAAGGCAGATTACTCACAAAGGAATAACAGACTAGTGGCTGGCTTTAGATCAGCAACAATTGAGACCAGAAATACATATGTTTATGTATATATGAACATTCATATATTTATGTGTTGTAAGGGCCAAGGGCAGGCTGCCCCAAGATAGGCCACTTTGACATATTGATTATTAAATAAAAGTTACTTAAGAGCCAGCCTGTGAGGGGCGTCTGGGTGGCTCAGTCGGTTAAGCGTCTGCCTTCGGCTCAGGTCATGATCCCAGGGTCCTGGGATCAAGCCCCGCATCAGGCTCTCCGCTCCGCGGGAAGCCTGCTTCTCCCTCTCCCACTCCCCCTGCTTGTGTTCCCCCTCTCTCTGTGTCTTTCTCTGTCAAATACATAAATCTTTAAAAAAAAAAAAAAAAAGAGCCAGCCTGTGGGAGAAGGACACTCAGACCCTCCTCTGTCCCCCTGAAAGCAGGAAATCTATGTGAAAAGTACCCTCCCTGGGTACCAGAGGTAGGAAATTTAGAGCCAAGAAGACTGTACAAATAACCCTTGTTACTTTTTACTAATTTACTATCCCAGCCCAAAGTCTGTTTAGAAGTCCATACTAATTGAAGCTCTGAAAGTTTTGTTTGTCCTGTCAATTCTTCACAGATTTATTGTCTCTCTGTCTAAAAAGTACAAAATCTGCCAGCCTTGGTCATTTCTTTGGGTCTCAATTTCATTATTGGGTCTCTGTGTGCACGTACTAGAACTTTTTTTTTTTTTCTCCTGTTAATCTGTCTCCTGTAAATTTAATTCTTAGTCCAACTGGAAGACCTTGAGCATAGAAAAGAATTTTTCATGCCTTCAGTATATGTGAATAAATCACCAGATCTTACTGGTACAGTGCTGAGTTTATGTCATTGGCAAAGGTGAGAGTTGCACAAGGCCCATCAAGGGTTAAATTTGTCTTCCTGCAGTAAGGTGATGGGATACCCGCCCAACACAGGGGCTTCTAAGGAGACCTGAGCAATACACAGGGTTTTCCCTGCCTGACTTAGTGACCCTATCACAACAGGGCCTCAGCAAGAAATAAGAAAAGTTGCTACCATTTAGTTTCTGATGCCAAAGAGCAGCAAAAAGTAACCATTTTAATTTGGTGTTTAAGACCAAATTGTCAGGGCCATGAGAAATAAAACACAGCCTACAACAATAATCAAAAGGAAAGGAAAACATTTTTAAAGACATCTCACCTACCTTTATCCCTCTGCTTTTCCTTTCATTGCTTTTATTCGTTATGTTTGGCTTTGAAAGTAGTACAAAATTTGGTGCTGGAAGTTGTTCGGGAGATGATAAATCAATGAAACTTGGCTGAGGCCATACAGAGCCCTCAAATACGCTGACGTGGACATGCTCTAGTGTGTGTCTTACAGGGTGGAACATGTTTGAGTTGTGGGAAGGTCAGTTACATTACACAGCGGCATTACATAAACCCAGTGGCAGTTAAACTTGTCCAGGTTAGAAGCATCTAGGGGTCTTTTAAGAAATTCTAAGGGCAGACCACACACCCCAGACCACTTAAATCACAATCTCTATGGGTTGGACATGGGCATCAGTTATGTTTGAAGCTGCCCAGGTGATCCCACTGCGCAGGCAAGTTTGGGGACCAGTGCCCAAGGAAGTAGGAAAAGATTTAATAATCTGGTGTACATTGAGCTAGTGCCAAGACATCTTGTGTATTTTTTTTCAAGAGGGCTTTTTGCATTTTGCTTTCTGAGCCTTCCCCCCAACCTTGCTCCAAGCTAAAAAGCTTAAATATAAAAAGTTTAATAAGGCCTAACAGTCCCACTATCATTTACTGTACATTACTCCTCTGAAGACCATCTCCCAGTTCGTACATTTCCAAACCAAGTGAAGTAAACCATCCCCCATATACCTGGCTTAACTGTTACCTGTATTACAGATTAATGATACCTGTTGGCTCTCTGAAGAAAATACTGGTTTGGGTTCTTCATGATAATAGTGTTAGGAGTTAAAAGGGCATTTATATCTTTTAATTCAGGGGGGCTCAAAGGGAGAGAGGGAAGGAGGGAGGAGAGAAAAAAAAAGAAAGTGAGAGACCTAGCTTATAGTCGATTTAGTGAATGTTTTTCTGCCACCTAATGGACTTTTTGGGATGTGCTATGCAAAATTACTGAAGAATGTGGAATATGCTTACTTTTCTTAAAGACTTTATTGAGAGAGATCCAGAGAGAGCAGGGGAGGGGCGGGGGAGAGGGAGAAGCAGCCTTCCCACTGAGCAGGGAGCCTGGGGGGGGGGGGGGGGGCTTGATCCCAGGACCCTGAGATCATGACCTGAGCCAAAGGCAGATGCTTAACTGACTGAGCCACCCAGGTGCCCCCGGAATCTACTTATTTTTATTTACAGAACCCTTGGGAGCACCACCAACTTCACACCATGTATGTAGACATGGATGTTTTGCAAGTGATCTTTCAAAAGACCAAATACTCCCTACAACATGCTTTTTATCTCCATTTAATTCTTATGAGCACCTCTACTTTTTGTTTCTTAAAAACCCCAAATCCAGTTTATCAAGGATTGTGCCTAAGTATATAATTAACAGACCATATAATCTCCCTAACCTTTCAGTATTGCAGTACCTCGGGGCTCAGTGATTGGATCTCTTCTCTTTTTATCTATTCATTGATCTTATTTGGCCCTATGGTTGTTTGTTTTTTTTTAAGATTTTTTATTTATTTATTTGACAGAGAGATAGAGAGAACAAGTAGGCAGAGAGGCAGGCAGAGGGAGAGGGAGAAGCAGGCTCCCCGCTGAGCAGGGAGCCCGATGCAGGGCTCCATCCCAGGACCCTGGGATCATGACCTGAGACGAAGGCAGATGCTTAACCGACTGAGCCACCCAGGCGCCCCATGACCCTATGGCTATAAGTACTATCTACACACAAATTTATAACCAACAGTGTTATCTCCAGGTCAGACTTTCCCTTGGATCTCAGATTCATAGATCCTCCTTTCTACTTAACACCGCTTCTTGGATGTCTAATAGACCTCTCAGCCCTGACATACCTAAATCTTTGCTCACACTTCCAATGCACTCTCCTTCCTACACACCCCTCCCCTAGACACACACTCCTATCTCCTCTTCTGGGAGTCTTTCCATTTCAATAAATGGCAATTCTATTCTTCTAGTTGTTCAGACCAGAAACTTTGGAGTCATTCTTGATTCTTCTCATTTAATCACACTTCCCGGTAAGTCCATCAGGAAATCCTCTTGGATATTTCTGGAATCCTCATACCACCACTCCACGCTGGTCTGAGCCATCATCTGTCACCTGGATTCTTACAGTGGCTCCTAACTGGCCCCCTACACTCTATACTCAGAAGGCAGCCAAGGTTGTTGAATCCTAAATCAGCTCCAATCACTGCTCTGCTTAAAACCCTCCAGGGGGTTGGCAGGGCGCCTAGGGGAAAAGCCCAAGTCCTTACAATAGCCTGCAGGGCTGTAGATCTGCCCTCCCCCCCCACAATACTTGTCTGATCTCATTTTGTGCTGCTCTCCCCTTCACTCATCCCACTTCCACACGCTGGCCTTTGCACTGTCCTTCCCTGAACACAGACTCCTGGCTGGGACTTGGAACCTGCAGTTCTCGGACTAGTCTTTCCTCCCTTGGACTTCGCCTCTTTCAGGGTTTTAATGCAAATGGTCTGCTCTGAGCTCCTCTGTCTCTGGAGGCCCCTTCCCGTTCCCTTCACCCTCACCACAACCACTACCACTCAACAGTCTTGCTCACTATTTCGCCTCCTTAGCCCTTACCATCATTGAACATACCCTGTATTTCACTTGTCTCCCTCTTCCCTTGCCCCCAGCCGGTCCTCTGGCCAGAGTGGGAGGGGCTTTACCTGTGTGCTTCCTGCTCCATCTCCCGCCCCTCCAGAGACGTGGCTGGAACTCAGTATTTGTTTAAGAAATGAACCATATGTTTAGATCATTTGAACGGGTGGCGGGGGCAGGGATTATGTAATAGATTGGGGGAAAAAAGGAAAGAACAGACTTGTAATTGGCTTTATTTCTGATGCTAAAATGGCTGCCTTTTAGTATTTTTCTCATTACGTTTACACATTAATCATTTCACTATGTCCTTCACTGCAACACAGCACTGTAACCCGTCCCAACAAAATAACACACTAGTTCCACATGTCGGCATTTAACTTCAGGAAGACATCATACCGAAAATTTCCCAGAGTTCTTTCAGTTTTCATTAATCAAGGCATGTTTTCAAATGAACCAGGTTCAAATGCAGCAAAGCAGTAGCACACGTAGTTGGTTCCGCAGGAGCTAACGGGGTCAGGGCAGGTACTCCCAGCTTCCACCTTCCCCTCTTCCCCAGGGTGGGCGTCTAAAGGTCGAGCCTCTGCCGAACGCAGGCCTGGGACAGCCCAAGCCCCACTGGGCTGAGCAGGATTGGCTACCAGTGTCTACCTGCCATTTCCCGTGAGGAAAACGGCCGGCTCCACTCGGCCACTCACCCTGGAGGGCGAGCGGGTGGGGCTGAGCCAGGAGATGTGGGGACCCAGCAAAGATGAACACGTGGACCAGCCAACCGCGGCTCCCCGTGAGAACTGCTGACAGAGCATTCCCTGGCAGCATTTTTGTATCTCTATTTTCAGGATTGAACCGTGTACGTGCACCCAACCACTGTGGATAGGGTGACATGACTGAGGGCATTTCTCAACTTTTTCTATGTCATGACAGATGATGTAAGGAAATTCTCTGAAATTCTGGAGGTGCCCAGCCTGGGAGCTCCAGCCACCTTACGCTCTGCCCAACTGAGAGGCTGAGTTGGCTGAGATCAGTAGGTTGAGGGAAACTACTTGAGAAGCTTTAAAGAATAAAACCCAAGGGGTGCCTGGCCAGGGGAATTTGAGCCCCATGTTGAGTGGGTGTAGGGATTACATAAATAAGCAAAACTTAAAATTTTTTTTGGAGAATAAAACTCAAGCCACTGGTGAACAAACATTTTCTCTAGGGAGCAAATGAATGACAATATGAACTCACACCTACCTCAAGCATATCAAAGGCTTTAGATATATTGAATTGCATTTAAGTGATAGCTCTGGCCTTTTGGATAAGTGGGTTTTTGTTTTATAATTCAAAGTAGGCTCCCCTTAATTTAGTCCCTTTAGTTTACTACTAAAACATGTTTAAAAATAAAGATGTAGGGGCACCTGGGTGGCTCAGTTGGTTTAGCGTCTGCCTTTGGCTCAGGTCATGATCTCAAGGTCCTGGGATTGAGCTCCCCATGGGGCTCTGTGCTCAATGAGGAGTCTGCTTCTCCTTCTCCCTCTGCCCCCTCCCCTACTTGTGCTCTAATAAATAAATAAATAAATAAATAAAATCTTTAAAAATAAAATTAAAATGTAAATTCCAAGCAAACTGCTCAAATATCGAATCTTCAGACACAAAATTATGGTAACCCAAATGACAAGTTTTTTTTTTAAGATTTTAGAGAGCACAATGGCGGGGGGTGGGTAGGGAGAACCAGACTCCCCACTGAACAGGGAGCCTGACACGGGGCTCGATCCTGATCCCAGGACCCTGGGATCACAACCTGACCAGATGGCAGACTAGCTTAATTGAGCCACCCAGGCACCCCACAAATTTATTTTTATACACATATTAAGAGACAAATAATGTGGTATTTTCTAAAGCACACTCTGGAAAATAAGATTTCTGAATGGGGTTTTATGTCTCAGTAACATTTATATGGCACTGAAAATGCCACCTCAAGTTTCCAAAGCACAGAGTTTTGTACAGAGCACTGCTCAGCCACAAGGACTGGCTCTCTAGCCCAGTTTCCCACAGAACACACCACATCCAGTGTGACGAGTACGGTAGATACAGGCCAAGTGAACTCCTACTTTGAGATTCGGAGTACCAATAAACATAAATAGGAACCAAGGAGGTGGAGGAGTGTTGGATATTTAATGAACTCCGGTGGCGTGAAGCCACTGATGCACGTGTCTGTCATCTGAAAACGTTACTGTGAAGAGTTAGGGTTTTTGTGCCGTATTAACGGTTACTGGTTTAATAAATGTAAAAATATTTGTCAAAAAACAAAATCCCGATGAAACTGTTAAGTAAAATTACTTTATTTCATAAATAAAAAGATAATTCATTATACAAACTACTTTTAGCAGAGTATGTTAGCTGTCATTATCCAGTTTAAACTAAGTATGAAATGTATGCAATGCACAGTTAACATAGTTACATCCCTCTACAGCCTTCATGCAACTGCTTTATATCTGTTAACTTCCAAAAATTTCCAACACCATTTTAAAGAATATAATAAAGATTGGGGGATTCTAGTCACAATGCATCACTTATGCTGAGTCAACACGCTATTTATTACTTGCTCATGTCGAAGTTGCCAATTACTGATTTAAAGTAATACCAGTATTTCCTGCATTTTACAGAAGCACTGACCGTATGACGTGTTTTCATTCCATATATGGTAGTATGATTCACAAAAATGTTCACGTGAAAATTGAGTTAACTAGGTTAATAAGCACTAGTACCTAAGACAAACAGGTCCTGTAGGCCAAGAGCAAAAAGCTGGCATCAAGTACTGTTTAACGTTTTGTCAGTAAATGGCATACAGCAAACCAATGATTTTGTAGTAGCACACAAAATACAGTGAAATTTAACTGAAATATTTTTCTATACACAGCAAAATAAAATTAAATGTCTGTCTGGTTATTATTCCACTTATTAGAATTTGCAGCTTCAAATATTAAATGTTATATAGCAAGGGGTAATTAGCATTTTCACATATTTAAAAAAAATCCTGATTCTATGTATTTTCAAGAGTGAAAACTATGATTTAAGTAATCATTTATTTGAACACAATATTGATTCAGAGAGGCATAATCTATTTCTTTTTAATTTTTTTAATAATCTCTACACCCAACGTGGGGCTTGAACTCACAACCCCGAGATCAAGAGTCATATGTTCCAGTGCCCCTATTTATTCTTCATAATGAAATGTTTATTACTATTTCAACACCTTATGCAGACTTTACTTATTTGTCACAGGGTTGCTGTGTGGATTCAATGGTTTATCTATATAAGTGTTCAGCAGAGGGCCTGGCACATAGTATGCTCCCAATATACACTACTATTATTTCTATTAAGTGAACCAATCTGTCATTTATGATAGAAAAATTAGCTAATTTTTCCCAGAAGAAGAATCAAAAGATAAGCCTACAGATGTGTGACTTTTGTTAAAGTATTATGCATCCACTATTTCCCAGGTTTGTGTATACGCTAAACTAATTGTTTCAAATATTACGAGCTATTTTTAAGATCATACTGTATGTTTGCTCTTTAAGTTTTTGTTCTGGCCTTTGGCCTAAAGCAATACAATTTGGATAGGACGTGTGTATTAGAAAACCATATAGAAACAATGCACACTGAAGTCAGGTAACAAAAGCATTTTACCATAACTTCTGTCGCCAAAATGTAGAGTTACTAGTGTAATTCAGGACAACCTATCTCGTTTAGGTTTAAAAAGTTTCTTCTTGGGGCGCCTGGGTGGCTCAGTCATTAAGCATCTGCCTTCGGCTCAGGTCATGATCCCAGAGTCCTGGGATCGAGCCCCGCATCGGGCTCCCTGCTCC